TGTGTACACAGCTTGGTGCTGACTCTGGTATTTGTGTAGTTTCAAATATAGATTGGTAGATTTAACATTTTTTTTTTATAGAGGCATGTTTTATTTATTTGTTTGTTTGTTTATACATGCACTGGGTACAGTCAGAAGTGCGGGAGGGTGAGAGAATTCACCAGAGCCAGAGCGGGGAGCAGAGCAGGCAGAAGGACCTAAGTCCACTGCTGAGGGGAGCAGCGGGCGGCAGGAGAGGTCTGTGCGCCATGTGGGATCCTCCTCCCGTGGCCGGGGAGCAGCCGGGGATCGAACCGGCGACGCAGAGGCTGCGGGCAGCTTCGCAACCCAGCGCTCAACCGCTGCGCCACTGGGGAGGCCCTAGATTTAACATTATTAAATGCTTTACCTAAAGCAAATCACAGATTCATTGCAATCCCTATTTAAATTCCACTAGCATTTTTCACAGAAATAGAACAAACAATAAAATATGCATGGTAGCACAAAAGACCTTGACTAGTCAAAGAAATCCTAAAAATAAAAGAACAAAAGTGGAGGTATGATGACCCCTAATTTCAAACTATGCTACAAGTCTACAGTAATCAAAACAGTAGGATACTGGACACACAAATCAATGGAACTGAAATAGACCTGCACAGATAGGACAACTAATTTACAACAAAGGAGGAAATAGTGTACAATGGAGAAGTGAAAGTCTCTTCAATAAATGAATGGTGCTGGGAAATGGAACAACTACATACAAAAGAATGAAACTTGATCACTATCTTATACACAGACAAAAATTAATTCAAAATGGATTAAAAACCTGAATATAAGACCTGAAACCATAAATTACATAGAAGAAAATATAGGCAGTAAGCTCTTTGAATTGGTCTTGGAGATGTCTTCGTGGATTTGACAAGGGAAATGACTACAAAAATCAACAATGGGACCAAATCAAATTAAAAGCTTTTGCACAGTGAAAGAAACCACCATCAAAAGGAAAAAACAACATAATGAATGTGAGAAAAGGGTTGGTGGTTAGATGCAATGGGGTAAGGGGTCAATTATATGATAATAGGTGGAAATTAGACTTTAGGTAGTGACCATAGTAATGTTATAAGCCAGTTATGTCAATAAAAAGAGAGAGAAAAGAATTCTGTTTTGGGGAGGAGGATGGAGGTATTTATTGGTTAGACTTTTGCTAACTCAAGTGAATATGTTAAAATTTAAGGATAACAACCAGAAGAAAATAGACTTTCAACTTACTATAAAGAAAAAGGTGAACAAATAAAATCATTTATACAACAATGCATGAATGGAAAGAGGAGTTTAAAAAAGTAAGGTTAATAGAAAACACAAAATAAGATGGAACAAGGATAAGTATAAATGTAAAAATAATTACAAAAGTTATAAACAAATTAAATTTACCCATTGATACAGATTCTCAAAATGGATAAAAAATATCCAGCTTCGGGCCTCCCCTGGTGAGGCAGCAGTTGAGCGCTGGGTTGTGAGGCTGCCCGCAGCCTCTGCAGCGCCAGTTCAATCCCCGGCCACCGGTGAGGGTCCCACACAAAAAAAAAAATTTTTAAAAAATTTTAAAAAATCCAGCTTCTTTTTGTTTTAAGAGATAATCCCCTAGTGTAATAATACAGAAGGTTTAAAGTAAAAGGATGGACATATGATTATTATTAGACAAAATTATGCATGAAGACAGTCATACCAGAGATAGAGGGTCATTATTTAATGACAACAAAAGAAAATTTATCAGGGCAATATTAATCCTGAACCTATACATAAATAACTCCATACTATCAAAATAGATTACATATAAATGGAATATTTACTCAAGATTTTATCAATGCTATGTGATTGTTCAAAACACCATTACAACCTTAAAGAAATGGAACAAATCATTGGCACATAGAAAAACTCAAGTCTAAAGCTTGCAAAATTTCTCTATTATAAATAAACTGGTTGCAATAAATACTGTCTTAGACACACACACACATATTGCTTCAGTGTACAAAGTGATCACATCCCTCCACCTTGAGATTCTTTCTGGATATTTGTGACCTAGGCAACATCTCAAGGTGTTTATTGTGGGAAAAATTGACAACATTAAATAACAAAAGTTCTCCCTGTCCATCATCTGCATGTAAACAGTTAATATTCAGATTTCAAATGTGAACAGTTAACATACATATTTAACTTACTCAGTTTCTATTAGTTGTCAGTTTAGATTATTGGATTTATTAAGATTTCATAAGAGGAATGGACGTCACCAGATGTATTTGTTTTAAAAATTTATAATTAAAAGAGTGTTAGCAAACTCCAAAGGCAGAATACCTCTTAAACTGAGCTTATGTCACATTTTTTTCTGAAAACTCTCTCATGCCCTCTGCTGTCCATTTGTTGAATATATAATCATTAAAGTAAAATATTAATTGGCATTTACATTCAGATGGTAAGAAATTCTCCATCTATTTAAATATTCGAGTCAGTCTGAGCAAACTATATATGCTAAGAAATGCATTAAATTTTATTATAAATGTAATGTATGTTCATTATTGAAAATACACAAAAAATGAAGAAATAATTCATTATCTCTGTTTAAAAATAACCATTTTGATTAAATTGTGTATTTCTTTCTGTAATTGTTTCAATACAACATATTTTAAAATTTGATTTTGTTAAAATCACTAACGCTATTACTGAATTGGAATCACAGTATGGCTACCATTTGGTATTGTACTCTTTTCATTTATTAGTGCATTATAGAAGGTTTCCCATATCACTTAGGGTAACACTTTTCTACTTTTGCATATTTAAGTTGTTTCAATTCTTTTTTAAAAATTTATTTATTTATACAAGCACTGGGTACAGTCAGAAGCACGGGAGGGTGAGAGGATTCGCCAGAGCGGGGAACAGAACAGGCAGACTGACGAAATACACTGCTGAGGGGAGCAGCAGGCGGCAGGAGAGGTCTGCGCGCCATGTGGGACCCTAGCCCCGAGGCCGGGGATCCAACGGCGCTGCAGAGGCTGCGGGCAGTTTCGCAACCCAGCGCTCAACCGCTGCGCCACTGGGGAGGCCCCTAAGTTGTTTCAATTCTTTATTAGAATAAGTAACCTGGTAAAACAAAATTCCTTTAACATAAGTTTTTTTAGAAATGCCTAATTTTATGTGTAGATTAAATTCCAGAAATTTTCAGGTTATGGGTGTACATATTTTTAAGATGCTTTATCCTTATTGTTAAACCGAACTCTGTAAAATTTTACACTTTCCATTCATTTGATGAATAATTTTTTTTCTTCAAAGGTATCAGGAGGATAGAAGTACCTCGTGACAGAATGATACGAGGATCACACCTTCTAGCATTTAACCTTAATCTTTCTGAATTTCTTTCCCCATGTATGATGTGAGGATAATAATTGTCTTGCTAAACACAAAATGATTTGTGAAGATAAAGTGAGATAATGCATATGAACATTGTTGCAAGCTATGTCATTCAGATGTAAGGTGGAATTTATATTAGTGATTTATGAGACAGATAAGATGTATGATCCATCAAAAATTTTAAGGTATCAATAACTTTTTAATATCTTATATTAAACCTAATATCAATAATTTTCTTCATTTTCAAACATGGTTAGAAAAAAATATTTTAGTCAATTTTCAAAGAACTTACAGAATAGGAGGTAGGAGCACCAAAACAGAGAGAGAAGCAGGAGAGGAAAAATTAATTTTTCCTGTATTTTTAAATTGCCCATAAAATAATAAAAGGTAGAAGAGTTCTTTAAGAGTCAATTAATACAATCTTTGTTCATCTGAAAGCTAAAAAAACAAAACAGATCCAGGTGACAGACAAACCAGTAGCAGCACTAGGAAAATAATCAGTTCCATGCTCTTTCCATTGCATTAAGTGGACTCTGTCTCTTTTAAAATATCTTTTGTCCCTAAAACTGAGCCTCACTGTAGAAAAGAGATCAATGCTGCTATCAACACAAGTTCTGATCTCTCAGATTTTTCTTGTCAACTTAGAGTCAATGCTACCGCTAAAACAAAAATACAGTACTTTACATTGCTATTTTGTAGACTCTTGGATCTTTACAAAAATCCTGCTAAACAAGGAAAGTATTATCGTTGTCATTTTAACAGCGAATAATGAAAACCCAGAGACGCCCGATGATGTCCAACCTAAGATCACTTCGAGTGAGTAAAGAGGCAGGGTCTCTAAACACTATTCTCTAACTCAGAGGGAGTTCCCTCAAAAATCACCGATCCGGCTCCTTGTTCTCTTGTCAAGGCAATTCTCCATTCGCAGACCTTGCACTGATTTAGAGAAGGGTGGATCTAACTACCTACTAAGGGAACTCCTAGTTTGCATCTAATTCTCAACTTTAAAAGCTCAGTTTCTTACCTCTTCCCTTGGTCCTGATTCTTGTTTAAGCTCCTATTTTTCTGTGTGGGTTTTGGCCTCCTGCGGCTTACTCCAAAGCTCCACCCTTTCCAAAAGAAGTCGCGTCCTCGGTATCCAAGGAAACCACACGGCCTTACCTACCTTGCCCGTTCCGCGCTTTCCATTGGCCAATTGGAGTCCCGTGTAGATTTTTTTTTTTACTTACCCTCCAATGGCTAATGTGCTTGAGCAGAGCGTGTACCTTCCAAGCCCAGTCTAACACTTGCTGTTACGTTTTACCCTGCGCATTGCCTCCTGGGATATGTAGTTTCTAACTGGCCCAGATTCCTTCGCTCTGTGGCCCTTTAGAACTACCTATCCCGTCGGCCACCGCGAAGAAGACTACGTAGGCGTGGAGTCCGCGTCAGGGTAGATAACTCCGAGCTTTGACTTTTCCGTATGCCGCTGAATTTTAAATTGCTGGAGTGAAAGAGCAATTTTGCTTTTGCGTCAGCAAACACTCGCAAACGTCTCCCTTTTGGCCTGAGCGGGCGCAGTGACCAAATAGACTGGCCTGTGGCTGAGGTGGTCTGAGGGAGCGCCAAAGGGGCGCGCCATGTTTGCCCCCAGCCGCGGCCGGGCGCTCTGCTACCTGCGGCGGGGCGGGTTCCGAGGAGGGGCGCGCGAGGTCGCCAGGTCCCGCTCTGGTGGGGGCGAGCGCCAGCAGGGGTCTGCGCCGCAGGTCCCTCCGCCCGGCCCTGCGCGCCGGACTCTGAAGGAGTGGTCGCTGCTGGTGAGCCCGTTCGGTCAGCTGCGGACGCGGCTTCCGTGTCACCTGGCCCTGCGGCCCTTGGATCCCCTCACCTACCCGGACGGCGACCGCGTGTTGGTCGCGGTGAGCGGCGTGGAGGGCGGGGCGCCGGACCTGGCCGGCCTGCAGGTGAGGTATGATGAGGCGCTGAAGGAGGTGACCATCCTGTCTGACACCATCGACCCGCGAGTGTCCGTGGAGGTGAACGCGCCCTTGAAGTTTGGCAAGTGAAGTTAATACGGATTTGGGGTCCGGGGTACATCCTGCAAGCTTGAAAATTAGGCCGCCTCTCACTGTTCATTGGTCTCCGGATCTGACTTTCTAATCTAATTTTCTCCTTTGGAAGCTGCTACTTTTGTTTTGCTTTGAGTTTCCCTGTGGTAGTTAAGAATTAGGTTCTCAGTTACTAAACTTTCATTAATGGAATGCAAACATGTTAGGAATAATCGAGGTTAGGTAACATTTGTGGCGTCTCCTATGTTATCCTTGGACACTTTGTTTCCATTTCTGTCATTGAACGTGGTCAATAGGAGAGTGGTTTATTTTTCAGGCTTGATTTTTCCTGAAAATTCATTGGCATGTCAGTTCATTCACATTTTCCCTTGCTTGCAGGCATGGAGGCCTGTCCCCATACAGCCCTGTCTGTGAGATTTTCCACGTCTAAGCTGGACCGGGTGTTTGTTTTAAACGGATAGGACTCGTTTCGTTCTAGCTTAAGGAAATTCTTTATGAGTGGCAGATTTTGAAGAAAAACACAAAGATTTATTGGGAAAGCAATTGATAATACCTGCAAGATGTGTTTCCTAGTTGTGGGTTCTTTGTTATTTCCCAAATGGCAACCTACTGTGTGCACACTTTTCTAGAAAAATCTCCCCAGACTTTCCTCCTTGTTGGGACTGAAGGATGATAATGATGATAATCATCATAGCAGTTAACAATAATAATCTTTCCTAATCCTTACAGTTGTACTATAAATTTTTTTTAAAGATTTATTTATTTATTTATACAAGCACTGGGTACAGTCAGAAGAGCAGGAGGGTGAGAGAATTCACCAGAGCCAGAGGGGGGGAGCAGAGCAGGCAGAAGGACAGAAGTACACTGCTGAGGGGAGCAGCGGGCGGCAGGAGAGGTCTGCGCACCATGTGGGACCCGCCTCCGGTGGCCTGGGAGCAGCCGGGGATCGAACCGGCGCTGCAGAGGCTGCGGGCAGCTTCGCGACCCAGCGCTCAACTGCTGCGCCACCGGGGAGGCCCTGTACTATAAATTACTGTTACTGTCACCATTTCAGATAAGGAAATTGAGATACAGCAAGTTTTATAAAATAACTATTGCTGGTGAAAAACAGGAAAAAATCCGTATCTTCGTGATACATACACTGGTGGGGGTAGATCAGGAAATACGCCTATTCTCACTCAGAAAGTACTGGAGATGGGATCTGAACTAATTGGAGTCTACTCAATGATGCCTTTATTGCTTTCCAGCCTCTTTTAATTAGTCTAGATGAGTAAGACATTCATCTAAAATGTGGGAAGGGAAATTTGCTGCTATATTGTGGTAGTATAAAATAAACTGAGTGTTGAACTAAAGAAGCAAAATTTAATTGCAACAGAGATAGAAATGAAACTATCTGTGCTGGTGATCCCGCACCTCTTTATTTGTTTATTCCTTTATTTAGAGCCAGAGTCCCATTTCCAATATGCTTTTTCCATGTGTTTATTTCATGGGCCCTTCAAATCATAGGAATTTAATTTTCTTCATACTCCTGTGCCAGTTTGTCTTACCCGTTTCAGTGAATGGGTGATAGTGGCATTACTGCTACTCAGCATCTAATGTTAACTTCTTACTAATTGAGGGTAACATGCATTCACTTACTCCATATCTATGAACACTGATTTAGATCAAACCTTATGTTGTAACATTAAGTAGGTAAAAATCTTGCAGTTACATTTGCATCCATGTAAGTATGGGGCAAATTTTTTTTTAAATATAGTTTGGGTTAATCCCATGCAACGTGTTGCTGTTATTTTAAACCTTTATAGAGACTGCCATCTACACAAATGTAGAAATTTCATGCCATAACTATTGAAACTGGGGCATTAGATACCAGTAGTTTGTGTTTTGAGTAACTGGAGGGCAAATGGAAGTGATCAGGTATTTTCTGCCTGCCTGCCATTAGCATCAGTGATCGACCCCTGTGGTCTTACACGTGAGCCTGATGGCGGCACCTGCAGTACAGTGTGGGCATGTGTAAGTGGGCACACCTGAGCCAAGAGGCTTGAGTATATAAGGGCGGCATAGCCAGTAACAGAGCTCCGCTGCAGAGGATGCATGGGGAAGAGGGCGGTGCAGCTGAGACCAGCTAAGAGACCAGGAGAGAAAGCCAGAGAGCCCAGAAAGAGTGAAGACTTCTTCCAGCCCCCCTGCCTGCCATCACCTGGTTGCCTCGCTACAAGTAGTGTAGAAAGATCATTAAAAGCCTGAAAAGGGGCTCTAGGACTCCTCCTTTGCACTTCCGCCCGGATCATAGAAAACCTGCTTTGTGCCTTACTGGCACTATAGTAACATACTTTTTATTTTTCTAATCTGGTCAGTACTTACTAGGGAAATCATTAATATTTATTTGAATTAAGTATTAAATATCAATTACAAAATTTTTAGAGACACCCAATATAATACCTTAAAAAGTTAAGAATTGCATCCGTGTCTCCTTTTCTAAACTGTCTTCAGATACCACCATTATTTGTGCGATCTTGTGCTTTCAATACTATGCAGTACTAGATTTTTCAAAATTGCTCCCTTTTTTCCATCAGATACCTTTTGAGGTAAATGTGTGGTAATATCTTCAATTGTTAGATATGACAGGGTAGAAATAAGATTTAAAAAACCAGTCATCATTGCATCTGCAGTATGCTTTTAATTTGAGGGAAGTTTGTAAACAGATATTTATAATGAACATAAGAGAGAATAGGTTAATTGCCTTATCCAGTTTATCACATGACTTACTAATTTGCTGTCTTATTTTAATTTGTATGTTTCTTTTCTAGGTGAGGTAGAGGTTTCTTTGATCTTCCCCAGAGGTGCTAATAAAAACTGGAGTCTTTTGCCTCCTTGATGCCTGTGTTTCTCTTTAGATGATATACAGCAGCAGAAATAATGCTTTCTTTCTAGAAACTGAGAAAAGGCCATTAACATTTGCTCCTGCTGCCTTGATAGGAGACCCTTCCCTTTGTACTGACAACTATGAGCTTTCCGGGGATCAATAATATGGATATAACTGAAGAGCTGGATTTCTGTGGGATACTAAAATGCTTGGGAGCCCACTAACCATAGTGCTTATTCTTTCTTTTTTCGTTTCTAGATTTGAATATCAAGTCATCAGGGTCTGGCTGTGTAAAAATCCAAAATATTGAGTGTGATAATTGCAAAATTGAAACTGAGCAGGGTACCAGCATCTTACAGAGTATTAAGGTATATACATTTTTCTAATTTTGTTTCAATAGTTTTAAATTTTTTAAATGTTAATTTTTTTTTAAAGATTTATGTATTTATCCATACAAGAACTGGGATATAGGCCAGAGGTGCGGGGGGTGAGAGAATTCACCAGAGACAGAGTGGGGAACAGAACAGGCAGAATGACTGAAACACACTGCTGAGGGGAGCAGTGGGTGAGACCGGAGAGGTCTTCTGTGCCATGTGGGTAGCTCCCTGGCTGACTAGGGATCAAACTCATGCTGCAGAGGCTGCGGATAGCTTCACAGTGCTGTGCTTTAACCCCTTGCGCCACTAGGGAGGCCCAAATTTTAAATTTTTAAACTATGAAATATAATATTAAACCAACACTGTTCTACTTTCAGATATTGAGTGTCATTCATTTTAGTATATGCCATTCTCACAGGGGTGAGATGATATCATTGTGATTTTCAATTGTGTGTCCCTTACAAATGATGTTGAACATTTTATATACCTGTAGACCATTGGAATTTCTTCTTTGGAGAAGTGTCTCTTTAGAGTGTTCAATTGGGTTTTTTTTTTTAATTGTTAATTGTGTGAACACTATATATTTTAGAAATTAACCTTTTGTCAAATGTGTTATATACAGCTATTTTTCCCAGTGAGTATATTGCCTTTTTATTTTTGTGATAGTTTCTTTTGAAGTCCAAAAGCTTTTTAGTTTGATATACTCCCACTAGTTTATTTTTTATTTTGTTTTTCTTGCCCAAATACGTTTCTGCAGTTGATGTCCAGTAGTATTATTACCTATATTTTCTAATAAGTATTTTATGTTTTCAGTTTTATACCCAAGTCCTTAATCCATTTTGAATTAATTTTTAGTATGGAATTAAGGATTTAGTTATCTTCCCTTTTTGTTGATCTGGTAAATGACACTGATTTGCATGTGTTGAACTAACCCTTACATCTTTGGAATAAAACCTTGATCTCGGTGAATGATTCTCTTAATATATTGCTGGATTTGATTTGCTAAGATTTTTAAAAACTTTTTTAAATTTTAACTGGGGTTACAATTGGTCTTCCATATGTGTTCATGTTCCACACTCCACCAAACCACATGTTCCATTTACCCCCTCTGTCTGCCTCCTCCCTATCCCTTCTAGTAACCATTAAATTAAATTCTTTAAGTCCAAGATTTATTCCTTCTTTATTTGCCTGTGTCCGCTAAGGTTTTTGTTGAGGATTTTTATATCTATATTCATTGGAGATAAAGGCATATAGTTTTCTTTTTTTGTATGTGCTATCTTTGTTTGGTTTTGGGATCAGGGTAATGTTGGCTTCATAAAACGTAGTAGGGAACTTTCTATCTCAATCTACTTGAAGAGTTTGGGTAGAAAGGTATTATGTCGTCTTTGAAGATCTGGTAGAATTCATTAGAGAAGCTACCTGGTCCTGGGCTTTTGTTCTTAGGGAAACTTAATTACACTTTCAATTTCTGCATTTGTGATTAGTCTTTGTAAGCTGTTTTGCCCTGGTTCAATCTTGGAAGGTTGTATGATTCTAAAAATTAGTCCATTTCCTTGTGATTGTCCAGTTTGTTTGCATATGATATGCATAGTATGTACAATTCTTTGCATTTCTGCAGCATCTGTTATAATTTCACTTTTCTAATTCTTGTTAGTTGTTTTTTTTTCTTCTTAGTGAACTTAGCTAGGCATTTGTCAATTTTGTTTATCCTTTCAAAAAACCAGCTCTTGATTTCACTGATCTTTTGAACTCTTAGTTTTCTGTCTCATTTATTTTTGCTCTAATTACTGTTATTTTCTTCCTTCTACTAATTTTTTCTTACATCACTTCTTTATCTAGTTCCTTCAATTGAAAAATTAGGTTGTTTATTTGAGATTTTTCTTGTTTTTTTTTTTTTTTGATGTGGGTCCATACTGCTATGTATTTCCTTCATAAAGCATTTGTTAGGATATGGTAGTTTATTTCTCCTCTCCAGATACTCTTTAATTTCTTCTTGATTAGTTCATTGACCGAGGAATTTTTCAAAAGCTTTTTGTTTAGTCTTCACATGTTTTGGTTTCTTTCACACTTCTTTTTGTGCTTAATTTCTAGTCTTATACTATGTGACCGTGGAAGATGCTTTATGTAATTTCTTTGTTTTTTTTTAAAGATTTATTTATTTATTTATACAAGCACTGGGTACAGTCAGAAGCGTGGAAGGGTGAGAGAATTCACCAGAGCGGGGAGCAGAGCAGGCAGAAGGACCAAAGTACACTGCTGAGGGGAGCAGCGGGCGGCAGGAGAGGTCTGCGCGCCATGCGGGACCCTCCTCTGGTGGCTGGGGAGCAGCCGGGGATCAAACCGGCGCTGCAGAGGCTGCGGGCAGCCTTGCAACCCAGCACTCAACCGCTGCGCCACCAGGGAGGCCAGCTTTATGTAATTTCTATTTTCATATAAATTTTGAGATGTTTTGTGTTTCAGCACGTGATCTAATCTTGAACATTGTATCTGGTGCAGAGAAAATGCTAAGCAAGTGATAAAGTATGTAACTAGTAATGATGAATATTAATGATGAACAGTAATAGTGATTATTGTTGTCATCCTCATCGTTGTTTACTTAGCTTGTCACAGAGATCTTCAGTTTCTAAGCTCTCTTTGAGAAGCTACTGCAACACCTGAGTATCTCTTCTTTTTTTCCATTTAAGTCCATATGGGTTATTTAATTCCTATAATAGTAGCGGGCATTCTTTTCTAGTTGATATTATTCCAAACAGTGCATTTTAATTTAATCCCTGGTTCCTTTACTACTATTTTCTTTTATTATTTAAAAAGAAATGTATAAAAATGTCAGATATTTGTTTTTTAGTGTAAGTTAAAGTTTTTCTTTTTCACTGTGTGTATTTTTTGTCTTTCAGAGTCAAAAAGTACATGTTCAAACAAAAGGAGGTGAAGTGATCTGTCTGGGAACCGTTTATGGAAATATAGATATTCATGCATCAGATAAAAGTGTAAGGTTGAAACATTCTTTTATTGAAATAACATTGCTTTATGTAGGTTTCTGGTGTACATCATTAAGCATCAGCATGTATATGTACTACATTAAATTCTCCACGAAAAGCTCAGTTGTCTCATTCACTGTAAAACTGACCTTTTGCTCAGTTTACCCAATCTTATAGTCTAAAAGGTTATATTTATTTTAGTTCATCCATTTGTTGGTTTCTCAATATACCACATCTGAGTGAAAATAACTTACTTCACTAAGCATTCAATTCTCTAGGTCCATTCATATTGTTGCAAATTGCGGGATTTCTTCTTATATAGTATAGTGTTCTTCTTATACAGAGTAGTGTTCCATGGTGTGTATTTACCGCATCTTCATGATCCAGTGTTATGTCCATGGGAACTTAGGTAGTTTTTCAACTGTTGGCTGTTACATATAATGCTGCAATAAGCACAAGGGTGCATATATCTTTTCAAATTAGTGGAACTTAATTTTTTTTTTAGTAATTGCAATTTTGCATCAAGTTAGTTCACAGTTTGGTTCTACAAACTGGCTTAACATTTCCTTTTTAATGCATTTTATCTTATTAGTACGTTCAGATTTGAAATTGAGGTGATTAAATATTAATGGCTTAAATTTTAGTTTGTAATATTTTACTTTTCACAGTTTCTTATTTGGAATCACTAATAATTTTAAATAATATTTGATTCTAGTTCTGGAGAGATTTTTATTTTTATGATTATGGATTAAAATCAGTCATTAAGTAATACTGCTAGTATTGGAATTAAATTTTTAGTCGTTAGGTGTATTTGAGTATTTTGCCAAGCCCTGTTTGTTTTGTCTTTAGACAGTTGAGGAATGAATTTCAAAACTTTCTTCAGTATTTTCCACAAGATGGCACCATTACATAGCATTAATGTTTTCCAAGCGCTTTTCCAAGAAATATTGGTTGTTATAAGTCCATAACTTGGATTTTTTTAATCAACATTTTGTGATTTAGCATAGCAATAAGAGTAAATGTATGATTTCTTTCTTAGTTTAGACTACAAAGCCACAGTGCTTCCTTGAAAATTGGTTGTTGTATGTAATAATGACTTAAAATAACTATATTTTGAGAAAAATTTTTCTTCTGTTGAAAAGAAAATAAAAACAGTATTTGTCAGGTATTGCTTTTTGGTTGGTTCTGCTTTTTGTTCTTTATTTAAATAGCTACTTCTACTACCCAACAAACTATATAGTTTAATCCAAAGGGGCTGTTTTTGACTGTTTGTTCTATTAGTATCAATTACTATAAATCAGAGCCTCAGTATTTTGCTGTAAATTGTGGTAGCCTAACTTTAATTGTTCTGGTTAGTATCTGATATAGTGCATTATTGTGGCCTTCAGTAATTCTTTTCGAATGACGGGTGAAAATAACATCTATATTGTTATGGTGGGGAAGGGGTTCTACTTTCATTTGCTTCAGTAGGGCAAAGGAGAATATTTTTCTTGCTTCCTAGAGAGTAAAATATTTTGTGTTTATTAAACAATGTAAATCCTTGACATTTCCCAGATACTAATAAGAAGTCTCCCAATGACTATATTTGGTTTGGAGGGGACTCTAATCAAAAGTGCCTCTTTGCCAATTCAATTAACTTTCAAATATTCTTTCAATGTTTATCTTTTTGGAATTCCCCAAAACAGCTTCACTATCTATAAAAAACTAGAATATTTCTACTTGTTGTCTGCTTCATGGAAATACTTGAAGAATATGAAACTATACATGAGCAACTTTTCATGAAGAAACTTTGTAGTTCAAAGATACTTTTTCCAGAATTTTGTATCTTTACTATATTGCTTGGGAATAAAAAACATTTGTATTCCCACATATGTGAATTTAGTAAAATATCTTTTTGTATGACAGACTTATTGAAACTAGATTTAAATTATTAATTCCTATGAATCCACAATTAGTTTAAAAGAAACTGTGATGGAAAAGAAGTAAGGGTCTTAATTATTTACTTGGAAGTCCATCATAAAAGAAAGTTATATATGCAAATCCAATTGCAAAGTAAAATGTCTTCACATTGGAACCTCTACTTTTCTTTCTCTCTTTATACTCTTATTTCTAATATTTTAGTATTCTTGGAACTCTGTTCTTATTAAATAACATTCTGACTTTTAACATTTTTTGAAGGACATTTGAAGTAGATAACATTGATACCTATATGTTGAGAACACAGATATTCTTTCTTTTAAACACCGCAGTGTTGTCAATACTTGATTTTGACCCTGAGCAAAACTGTGGCAAACCTTGCTGGGGATCAGTGTTTAGATCAACAGTTATGTTTAGGCTCACAAATCATTTGTTTAAATTACTATAAAGGCAGTTGGACTCCTTAACCAGATATTGTCACTTTACATGGTGCTCAACATTTGAGACATAAATACATATTAAATTCTGTTAACTGGAGTTTAGGGATAAATATAAACTTCCTTCCATTTTGTTAAATGGAAAGCCACTGATTTATTAGATGTAAAATGGGAAACCCTCTAGAAATAGACTGTTGAAGAGTAAAGGAAAAAAATCATGTGACAGTACATTAACATCAGATAAAGCTAAAATTCAAAACTCGATGATTTATTTTTATTTTTTTAAAGATTTATTTTTATTTATTTATTTATACAAGTACTGGGTACAGTCAGAAGCGTGGGAGGGTGAGAGAATTCACCAAAGCCAGAGCAGGGAGCAGAGCAGGCAGGAGGGCCGAGGTACACTGCTGAGGGGAGCAGCGGGCGGCAGGAGAGGTCTGTGCGTCATGCGGGACCCTCCTCCAGTGGCCAGGGAGCATCTGGGAATCGAACCGGTGTCGCAGAGGCTGTGGGTAGCCTCGCAACCCAGCACTCAACCGCTGCGCCACTGGGGAGGCCCTCGTTGATGATTTAAACAGCAGTAACAGCAAAGCAAATTTGAAACACAGGGGAGCCTCCTTAGTCTGATAAAAGGGATCTAAAGCCAAACATCATACTCAATGATGAAACATTTCCCTTTGAGAACGGGCCGAAGATAAGGATGCTTGCAGTCCCAGCCTATTGTGCACTGTTGAATTGGAATACCTGAGTCAGACGGTAAGGGAAGAAAGAACAGGGAAATAAAGACTTAATATAAGGATTAGAAGGGAAGAAATTAAACTGTTAGACAACATAATTATGCATGTAGAAAGATATCTTCTCTAATACCAGAAAATACAAAAATGGGGAAAAATTTAGCAAAAGAGGTTTACATAGAAAATGTGAGACATGGGCCTCCCTGTGGCGCAGGTGGTTGTACGCAGTGCTGTGAAGCTGTCTGCAGCCTCTGCACTGCAGGTTCCATCCCTGCCGGCCACGGAGAGACCCACATGGCGCTGCAGACCTCTCCTTCCTTGCCGGCTGCTCCCCTCAGCAGTCCTTTCTGTCCATCTGCCTGTTCTATTCCCCACTCTGTCTCTGGTGATTTCTCTCACCCTCCTGCACATCTGGCCTATACCCCGGTTCTTGTATGCATGAATAAATCTTAAAAAAAAAAAAAAGAAAAGAAAAGAAAATGTGAGACATAAAGAGAAATTAAAGGTGATCTAATTGGGAGTACTGTTTTCGGAGTATTGTACATTCCACTAACGCTACACTGTTGCACATAATCTTGTGTGTGTACTAGGTAGTAACTTTTTATGTAGTTACTAATTCTGTAGGTACGATTTTGGCTTTTTACCAGTCTTTGTTTTATAATGAACTGATATGAGTCTTTCTCTTACTAGACTGTGACGGCAGATAAACTGCAGGGAAGTTCTGTTAATATATTTACTGAAGATGGTTTGCTGAAAGCCAGGTATCTTTATACAGAATCATCACTTCTGTCTTCTGCTGCTGGGGATATTTCATTAGGAAGTGTTCATGGTAAGATGACAAGGGGCTAACACTTCACAGAGTTTCCATATAACATATATATTAAGAGGTGACCCTGTTTCTTTGTGGTTGAAGAGGGATATGTCACCAGGAAGCTGCTACTCTCCAAAATTAGTTGCAGACTAATTTGACTCATAGAATCAGTAGATTTCATTTTGGCAGCATATTGCATATTCTGCTTTATGCATGAAGCTGAAGTAATAATTCTGATTTTTAATGTAGTTCTTACAAAAGCAGCAAGAAGATAAGTGCAGGAGATATTCAGAGGAAGTACACCGCAGCAGTGTTAAAAAATAACAATGGGTTCTGAATGATAGCTTTTGTTATGATGGGAAAGCTAAGGATGAGATAAATTAATGAACGTGTATGAAATCTGATTCTAGAAACTCAGTGATACCAATTTTGGTTCAAGTACTTAAATACACATTTGTAATTGTACCTGGTCTTCCCAGCACCCTGCCATTTTCAGTTTTCTTTATCATTTTCAGTTTTCTTTGATCTTCTTGTAACTTCTAAAACATGTCTCTACAAACAAGTAACATTACTTTGTTAAAAAATGCTTCTTAAATTTCCACACAGGGAATGATTTAAGTTCAGGTATGTTTTTTTGAAATATATACAGATAAAATTAAGAATCGCTTATCCTGGCAAGAAGTATAATATATTCATGTCTACTAAGTACCTTTTTGAATCATTTTCCAGGAAGGTTAGATTCAAATTTTTTCCACATATAGGCCACTCATTGCTACAGTAAAGCTGAATTTTGGCAAAATCGCCAATTTTTATTAATGAGCGTGAATTTTTAAATGTTATTAAAAAGCATGCTTAGGTGGTAGCCATGCTGTGTAGCAGATTGACAAGTAGTCTTATGTTTAAAGGAATCTTTAAAAGTTAGTACTTACATATTTGAAATAATTCTTGAGTTTTAATAGTTAAACCTCATCATCCATCCTTAAGATACTATTTGAGCCCAACATAGCTTGAGTACAAGTGGAGTTGTATCTTGGTAAAGCAAATAGTTTTTTACTCATTTGTTTATTTTTTTTAAGATTTTTTTTTTTAATTTATGCATACGAGAATGGGGGTGTAGGCCAGAGGTGTGGGGGCTGAGAAGATTCATCAGAGACAGAGTGAACAGCAGAACAGGCAGATCTACTGAAATATACTGCTGAGGGGAGCAGTGGGTGAGACAGGATGGTCTGCTGTGTCATGTGGGTTAGCTCCCTGGCTAGAGATTGAACTCATGCATCAATGGCTGGTGACAGCTTGATAATGCTGAGACTTTAACCCCTTGTTTGTTTATTTTTTTACTCAGGTGTGCCTTGAATGGTTCTGGGTATTTGTAACTTTTCATATTTTAACAATGAATTTTATTTAAGCACTGCATTTCTAACTATTAATTGCAATTAAATGTACTATATTTAATTTATTAAATAGCTTTTAGTGGAAAACAATTCTTTTTTTTTTTTTTTTAAACATTTATTTATTTATTTATACAAGCACTGGGTACAGTCAGAAGCGTGGGAGGGGGAGAGAATTCACCAGAGCCAGAGCGGGGAGCAGAGCAGGCAGAAGGACCGAAGTACACTGCTGAGGGGAGCAGCGGGCGGCAGGAGAGGTCTGCACGCCATGTGGGACCCTCCTCCAGTGGCCGGGGAGCAGCCGGGGATCGAACCGGCGCTGCAGAGGCTGCGGGCAGCTTCGCAACCCAGCGCTCAACCGCTGTGCCACCGGGGAGGCCCGGAAAACAATTCTTTATCAACTTGGATGTCGATTAAAATCCACAGTGAAGACAGTTCTGTTCTCTGCAGTGCTTTATCCATGTTTAAATACTTTAATGTGGTTTTTTGCTTTCTTTTAAAAGTTAGGTGAGAATTTAATTGTGTAGTTTGTCATCAGTAGCTTACATGATATTAAAACAATGTGCTTTTTGAGGGGTACCTTAAAATAATCTAAGAAGTCTCTTGATTACTTAAAGTAGCTAAAATGGAAACTAATTGTTAGGGATAAAGGAGTCAGTCTTTGGCGTTTTTGAAGTTGTTACATTTAATATGAAGTCACATACCTTTCCTTGGGTGATTTTAAACTTGGATCACACCTAAATGTGATCTATTGTCTCAGATTTAGTTTCCTTTTTTTTTTTTTTTAAAGATTTATTTATTTATTTATTTATTTATTTATACACGCACTGGGTACAGTCAGAAGCGCAGGAGGGTGAGAGAATTCACCAGAGCCAGGGCGGGGAGCAGAACAGACAGAAGGACTGAAAACACTGGTGAGGGGAGCAGTGGGCGGCAGGAGAGGTCTGCGCACCATGTGGGACCTTCACTGGCAGCTGGGGATCGAACAGGCTGTGGGCAGCTTCGCAGCCCAGTGCTCATCCACTGCGCCACCAGGGGAGGCCCATCAGATTTAGTTTTTTAAGATCAGACTCTGAGATGGAAATAAAGGAAAAGAGCCAGTTTCCCATGGAGAAATTTCCTCTGAACTGTGATGTAGTTTCAACACACCTAATAGGGAGCTCTGGAGCTGGATTGTCCTCAGAGTTGTCTCAAGCTGTAGTGAAGACACTGCCCTATCTCCAATCATTGATGCAAGTGTCCCCAGAAAGGAATATGATCATGGGCCAAGGTGGCCTTTTTTCAGCTGAAGCAATTCCCTAAGAAAGCTAATAATTGAGGACTGTCAGCAGTTCTCCCAATAACTAGGATTATAAGCCCTTCAGTTATAAAAGGGGGTCTGAATGATGAATCACACATCTACTACAGTTTTCAGGTACCAGTTGTATAAAGTAGGGCAGGAGATGATTATACCTATCCTTTTTTTTTTTTTTTTTTTTAGATTTTATTTATTTATATAAGATCTGGGCATACAAGCCTGCGGCGTGGGAGGGTGAGAGGATTCACCAGTGATAGAGCAGGGAGCAGAACAGGCTGACAGACCCAAAGCACTGCTGAGGGGAGCAGTGGGTGAGACAGGAGAGGTCTGCCGCGCCATGTGGGTATCTCTCTAACCAGCCAGGAATCAAACCCACGCTGCAGAGGCTGCAGACAGCTTCACAAGCGCTGTACTCAACCTCCTGTGCCACCAAGGAGGCCCTGTACCTATCCTTAACTCACAGTCCAATGGAAAGATTGAATGTCATCTTCCTCGTTTGTAATACTAGTACAGCAGTGAGAAGAAGTAGCGGTAGGGAAAGTGTGATCCAGTTGCTACAGCAGAAGAATTTCCATGTTGTTCAACTCTGCTTTCCCATTTAGTCCTTGACCCTTACTGTTTTGTTTTTTCAGTGGTAGCAAGTATATAAAAGAGAGACCCTCCTAATTTCTTAGTCATACCATTAGTCCCTATCTACTTTTTAAATCACCCCTTAAATAAACCTATTTTTTTTGCCTCCCTCTCCCATGTCATCCCTGCATCTGCCTTCTCCTAAAGGATTATGTGAACACGCTACTGATTTGGAATTTGGAGGAGGATGGGTACAGAAGAGCAGTTAGTGTTCTAGCTGTACATCCTAGTAGGTGGGGTAAGAGTCATGGCTGGTGAAGGGAAGTCCTTATTTTTAGCTATTGATTTTAGTAGGGAGAGATATTTCTCGAGGATCATCCCAAGTTGGAATTTGGAATATACAGTTCAGTGAATTATTCGTTCTTAATGGTAACGGTGATATAACACATATTAGGTGTGTGTTTTGGCTATTTTTAAACAAACTGACTTAGGAATCTTAAAACTTGTTTTTATGGGAAAATAAGTTGCTACTTGTAAATATGTGACTTACAGAAAACAAATTTGGGGAATATTCTGAAACCTGCCTGTTCAGGATTTATTTGCCTTGACTCCTTTTTCTATTTTATTCTAATTTTTTTTTTTTTTTTTAGTGTATGTGCTGCCAAATATACTCTAATATATTTTTTTAATTTATGCATACAAGAATGGGGATATAGGCTAGAAGTGTGGGGGTGGGGGGGTGAGAGGTCACCAGAGACAGAATGGGGAGCAGAACAGGCAGATCTACTGAAATACACTGCTGAGGGGGGCGGGGGGCGGTGGGCTAGGAAGGAGAGCTCTGCACCATGTGGGTTAGCTCCCTGGCCGGGATCAAACTCGTGTTGCAGTGGCTGCTGATAGCTTGATAGTGCTGAGATTTAATTCCTTGCATCACTAGGAAGGTCCTTGACTCCTTTTTTTAAGCAAAGGACTCCTTTTTTTAAGCAAAGTTTGAACAGATTATTTTTTGGGGTACATTTTTAATTATCCAACATACACAGATGTTGGAAAATGCCATTTATGTAATATAATGCGGTAAGTAGCTCTTGGTAGATTTACCAGGTATATGAGCTTGGAGCCATTGTGGAAGTGGGTGAGTGTTTTGAGGACATATTGAAAGCAAATATCTATTGAGTGCCTAAGTGGACCAGCCTCTTTCACTTTAAGGACAATTGGTTACTTACAAATGTAGAAAAGGAAACTTAGAAATGTCTGATTGTTTGCTCTCAACTGCAACTTATTAAGTGAAAGGAAGGAATTGATCCAAATTTCTTGACTTTCGAGGAGATGTTTTAAAACATTGCTCAGACAAATTTGTGTACATAGCTGTGGTAAATTTCTTGATTGCAACCACAGATTCCATCATTGCTTTGGCTCATTCTAGAGCTGTTTTCTCTATGCAGACAGCACCACAGCACAGATTGACTGCTTAGCTCTATAGTATATTGTAAACTGTAATTTCAGAATCATTTATTATGCCTTGTGACATCTGACACAAAATGTGGATGTTCCATACAGTCTTCCTGTTCAACTTTGCTCCACAAAAGCATTCAGGGAATTGGTTTATTCCATAAAAGTGATGCTGCTATCTTCATCTTCAGTATCTGGTTTCTAAGGCTTCCATGAAAGGGAGGGAGAACGTGAAGTTTATTTCTGATCTGTATTTTCTGTTTGTTTATATACTCGATGATAACCAATGCTCAACATAGTGCTAAGTACTTAAAGAGTGTTCATTAATGAGGAAAAGAATAATGAGAGTTGCAATATGTCCCTCCTGGCCTTGCAAGTTGACTTCTAGATGTAAAAGAAGGAAAAAAATCTATCCTAAATGTTTTTCCAAATGGACTTTTTTTTTTTAATAAATTTTATTTTTATATTCCCCATACAATTGCAACCCCCCCATTCTGACCCCAATCCCTCCCCTCCCGCCCATCACCCCCCAAAAAGTGTCTCTGGTTCATAGTTTTTTGTTGATTTCAAATGGACTTTTTAAATACAGCTTTTTCTAGGTAAGAAAATAAGTAAGCTAATTGACTAGTAACATTATTTGTTAAGGTTGGTTGAGTATGTGTACCTTCTAATACAAAAGAAACTATTTAATAAAAGCTTTCATTTAAAATTTTATATTTCTGAATTTCTAAAGATAAAGTTAAAATTTTATGAGTTTACTGTCTTGATTTCTCTCTATATCCTGTGTGAAGTACATTTTATTATAGTCTGGTTTTGAATATGATTTTTTTAAAGAAATATGTGTGTAAAATAGATAACTTTGATACATATTCTAAATATTTTTTAAAATTTTTTTAAAAAGATTTATTTTATTTATACAAGAGCTGGGGTACAGGCCAGAGGTTCGGGAGGGTGAGCGAATTCACCAGAGACAGAGTGGGGAGCAGAACAGGCAGACTGATCGAAGACACTGCTGAGGGGAGCAGTGGGCTAGACAAGAGAGGTCTGCCCCGCCATGTGGGATGCTCAGTGACCAGCCAAGAATTGAACCCGCACTACGGAAGCTGCAGGCAGCTTCATAGCTCTGTGCTCAACCTGCTGCGCCACCCAAGAGGCCCTTAAATACATTTTTAATTTATAAATGTAGTCTCTTGATTCAGAGAGAAAGAAAAGCTTCGTTAAAATGGTTTGTTTAATTGCTTTTCTTTATAATTTTACAAATTGATTAGGACTATTCAATGAGTTGTTTTAGTGTTTTATATGTAATTTATGATATTATTTGGAATAAATAATAAATAAAACTGTATGTTTAGATTCCTTGTGTAACTTTGGGTCTTAATTCAGTTTTTTTTTTTTTTTTTTTTTATTTGTTTGTTTATACATGCACTGGGTACAGTCAGAAGCAAGGGAGGGTGAGAGAATTCACCAGAGCCAGAGCGGGGAACAGAACAGGCAGAAGGACAGAAGTACACTGCTAAGGGGAGCAGCGGGCGGCAGGAGAGGTCTGTGCGCCATGTGGGACCCTCCTCCGGTGGCCAAGGAGCAGCTGGGGATCGAACCGGCGCCGCAGAGACCGCGGGCAGCTTCGCAACCCAGCGTTCAACCACTGCGCCACTGGGGAGGCCCTTAATTCAGTTTTTGAGGAACATACCTTGATCAATAAGTTACTAAGTATTAGTTTTCTCATTTTCTCTATATTTCAAAACTTCTTTGTTCCCCAGAGATTAGCAACATTTATATGTTTAAACTAGTCCTTAAATAACTACTTCAGATCTTAGAAACTGTCACAGAAGTAAAAGTTAATTATACTAATGCAGTTGAAAACTTTGATAACACTCAAAATTTCATAAAGAAGGGTGCCAATTTGCTTTAAGGGCATGTAGTTACTGATGAATTTTAAATCTGCCTTGTGAATTTATATTTCAGAGAAAATATAACATTTTAAAGGAAAGAAGCTTCTAGATTACATGAACTTTTCATGAAGTTCAAGAAAATGCTCTGTTCAAATCCTAGTATTCCTAAGTCCATTGTAAAGGTTCAGTTTATCAGTTTTGACATATAATGTTATGTTAATATTGAAGGTGGACACTTAAAAAAATACTGTAAGGGAATTATAGCTTCCTTTGTGGTGCAGACACAATAGTTGTTTTTCTTTTCTTTCAGGATTTAGACATTTGACACAAAATATTGCTATTTTATATATTATTTGGACTTGTTCCTTGGAAAACTTGGTTCCTTCAGAAAGGTGATACTGCCATCTTTAGTGTGTGACTTATAAACTTCCACAAAAGGAAGAGAAATTATAGAGGAATATGTGAGAAATTTCAGAAACCAAGTGTTAAAGTGTGTACACAACTTCTGCCATATATACAACTTCTGCTATACCCACTGCATATTTTTAAATGGCTTTATCTAACTGCAAGAGGCTGACATACAGATATTAGCAGTATTCTAAGGAAAGAGAAACCCCACAAATATTGGTGGGCACTGGCAATCTTTGGCGTATGTTATAATTGCTCTTTCTTAAACTTTTGTTAGTTCTCCTCTTTCCATTGCCTTGCAACGAAGTAGTTTTCTCCTCAGCCTGCCAATAGAATGTGGGGGTCCAGTGATCTCTTTTCAATTTGTGCTATCATTGTCCCTTTCAGTCCAAGTTGGCTGTGTGTTTGTTGATATAATACTCTTAAAATTTTTATTAGCCTTCTGTGAGTCATTTTGGAGTTTATTCCACTAGACAAAAACACATGCAAAAGGCTCTTCAAAAATATGGATTCTACAGAGATGTTGAGGTTCAAGCTTTCCTGAGGACCTTTTGAAAGAACTTTTTGAGTTAGAAGCCATTCTTAACTTCAACATATTTTACCACTTTGAGAGGTGAGAACTTTCAAAACCATTCATGTCCTGGCTCCGTTTTTATTTAACAGTTCTTTCTCTAGTTTTTTTATTTCTCTTGCATTTTTCCATAAGCAGCAAGAAAAAAATGACACTTTGACTTTGCTTGGAAATATTCTTAGCTAGGACATTCATTAGGTACATTTCCTATTTTCCATATTACTGTAGGTGATAATGTTGGTAAGTTTCTACTACTACATAACAAGGATCCTTTCAACTCCTCATGGGAAGCACATACTCAAAGTATAGCTTTCTTTCTCTTAACAGTCTGTTCAAGGTAATGTAGGTTTTCTCTAACATGCTTTTCAAAATCCTTTTAACCTCTGCCCATTGCCAAGTTTCAAAGCTACTATAAATTTTTTTGCTATTTATTATAGTAGCCCCCACTTACAGCTTTAAAAATCTGTACTAGTTACCGCTTTCTGTGTAACAAATTATCCCCCAAATTCACTGAAAACAATATTTATTGTCTTGCAGTTTGGATAAGTTTGGAACATGGTCATGTCCTTAACTGTGTACTCTGCCTTAAGATCTCTCATCAGGCTGTAATTAAGCTGCCATCCAGGGCTGTATGCTCATTTGAATTTTTAACCAGGGAAGAGTCTGCTTACTAGCACACTCTTGTGGGTGTTGGCAGGCTCCAGTTCAGATCCTGTTCAATGGAAGTTGCTTCAAGTTTCCTGCTAGTGAACTTCTTTCAAAGGGTGTTTGACAGCATAGCTAGCCTTGGAGCAAAAGAGGCTTAACGAGACAAAAAGCAGGATCTTTTCATAACCTAACCTTAGAAGTAACATTTCATCACTTTTGCCTGGAGTCCCTTTGTTAAAAGCAAATCATTAGGTATAATCCACACATGAAGGAAAGAAATTATACACAGGTATGTATACTTAGAGGCAGGAGTCTTTGGAAACCATCTTAGGAAATGTGGTCTTTGACTACTATTGGCATGTGATAGTGAATTTACCTTTATGGGTTTGAAAATTGAAAGAGAACACACCAATGAAGTAGTATTTACAAAACACATTCAACAGGATCTTTACAACCTGTAACTTAGACTTGAAAATGATTTTATAAGCTTAACTTGTGCACGCAAGGTAAGTATTATTTCTGAACTAGTTCCCCTTGTTCATACACTCACATGAAGTATGATGGAATGAGACTTGTAGAAAGATTTTTATAATCAAAGCGCATCTGACTATTGAACAAATGAATCAAGTGCTCTTTTTACTTTTCTCCTACATGTTGCTACACATCGGTATTTATAAGATGCACAAAATGAAATAAATGAGTTCACTTACCCTATATTAGTTCTGAGATAAAAGCTATTCCCTTAGGCGCAGTAGACCTCTCCTGTCTCACCTGCTGCTCTCCTCAGCAGTGTATTTCAGTCAGTCAGCCTGTTCTGCTCCCTACTCTGTCTCTGGTGAATCCTCTCATCCCCTGCACCTCTGGCCTATACCCCAGCTCTTGTATGCATAAAATAAGTCTTTAAAAACAAGCTATTCCCTTAATTTTTAGTATAGTTTTGCAACTATGGTAGAAGTAATACTGCTTACTACTTCTGCTGCAGTAAATATGGGCAGTATGGTTCCAGTAGTAATTGTACATACTATCATACCTCTAAAGAAAAATCTGATTTTTGGCATTGGAGAGAAGGGCCTGGAAAGAATGACTGAAATACCCCTATACATGTCCTGGAAAATACATTTTCATTGAAAGATGGAAACCTTTGAAACTTTTTAGTTAGTCATTCTTCAATGAATTCATTATTCCTGACACAAACTGCTTTAACTCATGGCATCCTGGCCTGGAAAATAACAGTAATTACTTTTTCCCATTGATTTTTTTTAGTGTTGTTTCAAAACTTGACTTTGTGTGGTCTGATAAATACATTGATGTTTCAGTATTAAACATTAAGTGCATACATTTAAGTCATTATGGGTTTTAGAAGCATAATTTTTCTTCCAGGTTTTCCAGAAAGGATGGTGACTATTTTGTAGTCATGCTGTCAGAGCTTAAAAACAACATTATTAAATAACATTGTGACAAACCAACCATGTTGTAGGACACCATATAATTCTTTCTAGGTTATTACTAATATCTTTCTTTTTCTCCCTTACAGGAAATATAACATTAGAAAGCAAGACGGGTAACATCACAGTAGGTATGTGCTAAGCTGCTAATTGGCACTTTTGCATGCTTTTAAAAATAGCTATATTTGTGATATTAGTGTAAATAGTGTTTACAGCTTAGCTGCTTAACCTGATAGAATTCTGATGTGCAGGTCATATAATCCAACCCACTGTATGAATACATGAAATATTTCTTGAAGTTCATTGGTTTACCATACTGTATATATTATATAGGTTTGCTGTTAATCAAAAAAGAATTAGAATTCTGATTTCACCACTTTCTGCACTTGGGCAGTTACCTAAATTCTTTGTTCCTCATTTTCCACATCTAAAAATTAGAATTAACAGTTTGTACCTATCATCTAGTGATGTTGTATAGACTAAATGAGATGATATGTATAAAGCGCTTTGGCACGGTGTCTGATATATGGTAAAAATTCAGTAAAAGTTTTTTTTTTATTACTGTTACTGTTGTAATCCTAGGCCAGAACTAATGGCTAATTGTACTTTAGAGCAAATCACCACATGTGATGCTGTGCCCGTGGGAGAAAAAGTACAAATTTCCAAATATTGATAGTTAGTTCAGGTAGAACTTTACTCTGTCCCACCTAGCACCTGCTTTCGTATTAGGAGATGGTAGACTCTGAGTGCATCACCATTTATCATTAGGGAATTGCAAATCAAAATGATAATGAGATACTATCTCATACCTAAGAGAATGGTTCATATCAAATAGACCAGAAGAGGGCCTCCCCTGTGGCACAGTGGTTGAGCACTGGGTTGCGAAGCTGCCCGCAGCCTCTGCAGCTCCGGTTCGATTCCCGGCTGCTTCCCGGCCACTGGAGGAGGGTCCCACATGGCGCGCAGACCTCTCCTGCTGCCCGCTGCTCCCCTCAGCAGTGTACTTCCATCCTTCTGCCTGTTCTGCTCCCTGCTCTGGCTCTGGTGAATTCTCTCCCCCTCCCACGCTTCTGACTGTACCCAGTGCTTGCATAAATAATAAATAAATAAATAAATAAATAAATAAATCTTTAAAAAAAAAAAAAAAGACCAGAAGAAGTGTTGGCCAGGATGTGGAGAAAATGGAACTCTCCTACACTACTGGTGGGAATGAAAATGGCCCAGACCTTATGGAAAGTAGTACAGGGGTGTCTCTAGACATTAAAAATGGATCTGCCATTTGACCAAGTAATTCCACACTTAGACATCTACCCCCAAAATTCAGAAATACTTATTTGAAAGGAAATTTCCACTCCAATGTTTATTGCAGTGCTACTTACTATAGCAAAATTATGGAAACATCCTAAGTGCTCCCAAACAGATGAGCAAATCAAGAAGATGTGATATATATACAGAATGGAATATTACTCAGTAATCAAAAAAGATAAGTCAGCAGAATAAAGATAAATATTGGATGGTGTCATATAATATGTTTAATATAAAGTGACTAAACTAAGAGTAAGATAAAGGCAAGTATAAAAACTAACCCTTGAGAGCCGGCTACAGAATTGAAGCACCAAGGGAGGGAGGTTGTGTAAGAGAGGTTAAGAATGAAGAGGGAAGGAAGCTTAATGGACAATGGTTATGGATGGGTGATTGGGTGTTTGGTGCACTATGGGGGTGATAACTAATGGGGGACATCCAAATATACCTCAATTAAAAATTAAAAATAGCATGAGTCAATATTAATAAAGAAACCTATATAGCTTTATAACTGCTTATCTTGGTCGGTCTGTTTTGTTTTTTTTTTTAAAGATTTATGTATTTATCCATACAAGAACTGGGATATAGGCCAGAGGTGCGGGGGGTGAGAGAATTCACCAGAGCCAGAGCAGGGAGCAGAAAAGGCAGAAGGACCGAAGTACACTGCTGAGGGGAGCAGCGGGCCGCAGGAGAGGTCTGCGCGCCATATGGGACCCTCCCTGGTGGCCAGGGATCAAACCGGCGCTGCAGAAGCTGCAAGCAGCTTCACAACCCAGCACTCAACCGCTGCGCCACCGGGAGGCCCTTGGTCTAAGTTTTTAAATGTTATTGTAATATAAATAGAAACTTAAGCAATAATAAATTAATACTGTGAATTTGAAAAAATATATAGTTAAGAGGAAAATACAAAATCTTGCAAGGCTCTTAGCTGTTTATCCTAATGTTGAAGCAGAACTGTGTATTTTAAGTTTATAATTCCAGTTGCTCAAATAAGAATGATTATACTCACAGTTTTTCCTTCCTTCTAGATTCATCCTCTGGATGTCTAAAGGCCTCAACTCATCAGGGTGCCATAGATGTTTATGTCAGCCAACTGGGGAAAGTAGAATTGAAATCCCATAAAGGTTGGTAAAATGGAATGTTTTGACATATGGTGGAAGGTTTTATGTAACATTCAGGAAACAACAGATGGTCAAATTATTTTACCTATACTGACATGAAAATTCCCTCTGATAGAACCTTATTTAAAGACTGGAATTCTAGCTTTCTAGACCAATGATCTTAAAAACTTCTGGGACAGAGAGCCATAAAAATTATCTTACCCTTTGTAGTACAAACAGAAATGTATTACAGTGACTATTTTTTTAATTTATTTATTTATTTTATTTATTTATGTATTTCTTACATCATTTTTCATTTTTGCACAATGTATGCATTTTCATCTTGGTTATATTCCCCATACAATTTTATCCCCCCCTTATTTTGACCCCAATCCCTCCTCTCCCTGCCCTCACCCCACCCCCTCACCCCACTCCCACCCCATAGTGTGTCTCTGATTTATAGTTGCTTGTTGATTTTGATTTTTTCTTTATTATAGTTATTCTTTTTCCTGGTCCCTTATTTAGGTTTTCTAAACTCCTGCTATGAGTGAGACCATCTGGTATTTTTCTTTTTCTTTCTGGCTTATTTCGCTGAGCATGATCCCTTCCAGCTCCATCCATGTTGCTGCAAATTGCATGAGTTTATCTTTTTTGAATGCTGAGTAATATTCCATTGTGTATATGTACCACATCTTCTTGATCCAGTCATCTGTTTGGGGGCATTTACCCCTATGTTTATGGCAGCACTCTTTACAATAGCTAAGCTTTGGATACAATGACTATTTTTGTGGAATTTTTTAATGTTAGTACTTGGGTTTTCTGTTAAGTTTTCTGTTTGAAACATAATATCCTTTGGAGACAAAATGCTCCCATACATGCCTCAGAAGCTTCCTGCCAGTCTATAAGAGAACCTCCTGAGGCCATCACTCTAGAGTGTGATCCTGAAATACAGTTATTACAGGGAAGGTCCCCTAAAGTGATTGTTGATTTAATCTCTTGAAACATCAAGACTTAATGATGTGTCTCTCTTTATAATTCAACTTCTAGTACAAATAACCTATTCCAGGAGTCATTAAAAATGATATACTTTTTAGTTATATGAAGACTGAATATGAGTGTGTGTGTGTATTTTGTGTGTGCCGTATGTGCACAGTGCAAATGACTTGAGTATTTGGAGTAGCTTGGCTATAGTAAGGACTGAAGTGATCTAAGTGCAGAAAGTTAAAGACTTAGCTATATATAGAAAAATAAAATATCACTTTAGAAGTTCTTGTGTGTTGCCAGGCCTGGGCTTTATGTATAACCAGGAAAATATTTACTTACAGAGACCAGTCATTCTTGCTATTACTAATTTCTTGCCATGATGGTTTAATCTTTTGTTGTTGTTCAACTAGGCTTTCTTAATAGTATCAACGTACAACTACAAGAGACAGGTCTGATTTGAAATTATTGTTGACACATAGATGTGATTTGATTTCTCTAGATCATTCTTTTCCCTTTAAAATAACATAATTGTTCTCACTAAATTTCTGAAAGTTTCAATTATACTATTGAGCTATTTTGTAAATGGCATATAAATCTAGTAATTGTCCTCTGTTATTACAAAGACCCAGGGAGAAAAAAATGTAAACCATTACTCTATTTAATGTAATCAGTAATAGAGTGATGTAACCAGTAATAGAGTTTTAAATAAACAGCTCTTATGTGAAAATTATTTCTTGTTGTATATGTGGGCAAAAAAGCAAAACAAAGCAAGCAAAAAACATTGTTGATCTTCATCCACTTTAAATATTCTTCAGTATCATTTAGACTGTTAGTTCTAGTAATCAGTTGAAATAGCATGTGATGGTGCAAAATTTGATTAGGATCACAACTTTGTGTTTTCTCCTGCTGGTACCATGTTAGTTTCAGAAGTTTAAAGGTGACTGGAAGTGAAAAATTCTGTTTTCAGGCCTCTTAATTCTCACTTGCTTGGAAACAACCTCTTTTAAAATAATGGGAAATTATTCAGTTTTCTATTGCTAAGTGGTGTGTTTGTGGACATCTGGAATCCACTCCAACTTTGCTGCTCTCTTGCTATGGGTTCAGAACCAGCTACTTGAATCTCTGAAGTCTTCTCCATTTCGCCATTTGAAAAAGAAGTACTTGCTTTCTGGTGAAGCTTCACATTGTGACCTTACTCTTTCTTTCAGAAAGGCTTAGTTTAGACTTGAGTGTCAACTCTAATCTGAGTACTGACTTTTCCACTTAAAAATTGTCACAGAAACATTAATTCCAAAGGGCACCTGCACACCTATGTTTATAGCAGCACTATTTACAATAGCTAAGCTGTGGAAACAACCCAAATGCCCAAAAATAGATGACTGGATCAAGAAGATGTGGTCCATATACACAATGGAATATTACTCAGCAATCAAAAAAGATAAACACATGCAGTTTGCAGCAACATGGATGGAGCTAGAAGGGATCATGCTCAATGAAATAAGTCAGAATGAAAAAGAAAAATACCGGATGGTGTCACTCATAGCAGGAATTTAGAGAGACCAGGAAAAAGACTAATCAATACAAAGTAAAAATCAAAATCAACAAGCAACTATAAACCAGAGACACACTATGGGGGGGTGAGGGGTGGGAAGAGGAAAGAGTAGAGTCAAAATAAGGGGGGGTGCAATTGTATGGGGAATATAACCATAATGAAAATGCATACATTGTGCAAAGATGAAAAATGATGTAAGAATTATAGAAAAAAAAATTAAAATTAAAAATAAAAATTGTCATTGAGGACTACACCTGAGAAGAGAAAGTACACGTTGTACAAAAATGAACAATGATGTAAAAATTATGTATATATAAAAATTATATATATAATTATATATATTATATGTTATATATTATATGTAAATTATATATATAAATAGGCCTTGAGGAAACTACCAACCTTAACTTATAGTATGCCTTCAAACAAATGGTGCTGTGTTTGTAACTTCGCTTTCTCAAAAAAAAAAATGCATAGATGTCAATAACCATGAGGCAGTTTATGAAGTAAAAAGAGGTAGAAGACATAACAAGAGCTCTCCTTTTTAAAAAAAACCTTGGGCAAGTTTTTAAGTCATGAGAATTCTTTCTCAAGCAGTAATAGAGTTTTGGTAGTACTGGTTTTTGCTTCTTAAAGATATGAAAGGAGATGGGAATAAAAATATTTGTATTATATAGTATTTTTGAAGCTATCACAGATTTAAGATCCCTTTACTCATTTAAGCACAGAAAAAATCAGTTCATAAAATTACCATGTTTGATGTATTCAGATATAAAGTCCTGGAAAAAAAGTTTTTAAAATCTGTTATTTTCTACTTTTTAAAGTATGTTTGGTAGAAAAACATCTATCTTTTATTAATCCTGAAATTTTCCAGGGTCATTTTTGTTTTGTTTTTTTCTAAAGCCCTCATATTTGTTGTTATGATAAATTTCCTGTCAGCAGTTTACATTTGAACCCTGAAAAGTAGTTTATTAGCAAAATAAATTGTAGGTATATGCTTTGCCTGCCCCCTCTTTTGTTGAGGAGTAAATGTGAGAGCTTATCAGTTTTACCTCAAAACTTCCAAACTTCCAGCTCCAATTAGGAAGATTGAGAAGCAGGAAATTATTTAGGGGATCTTTGCTGATGTTAAACTAGAAGGCAAACCAGGATCCACAATAAATGCATTCTAAAAGGCATCTTACAGCATTTACAAGGGATGTCATCTTCACCGTTGTCTATAGGAATGGGGTTAATGCTTTATGGCAGAGGCCTTTTTACTTTGATATATGAAAAAAGAGAAAGAAAAACCTTAGAAACAGGAATGTTCTGTGAGTTTATATGGCATACCATTATATGTAATTCTGAAATTCCACCCTATAACTAGCGGAGAACTTTTTAATTTCCTCCTTTAGAAGCTTAAATCACTATAATATTGTAGAGGACATAGAGGACAATAAAATTTAGTGTCTTGCCTCAGGTATGCAAAAGCCTGCAAAGAAACATTTAGACAGCTGGAATTGAAATACTCCCTTTTGAAAGTATTATGTGTCCCCGCTCCCCCCACACCCCCACCCACACACCTTCTATCCCACTCCTCCATGGTACAGTTGAAAGCACAAATGCTCAGAGTTCTAGTTGTATTGTAAGATCACAGTCCTGTAATTTGATGAGGTAGCAGTGTTAAAATACAGTGAATAGGAAAATGGACCTTGTTATTAAAGGATCTGATTTCAACACAACTTTTAGTGGAAGCTTGAGCTAGTTCTCATCCTATAAAACTGAATGATAATGTAATTAATGTGTCTCTCTCAAGGTGTCTTCAATATTCAGTTAATGGTAAATTCTATTTATAAGCTACAGGTGTAGAAACCACTTTGCTGGTATTAAATGAGGTGACTAGGACTGTTGACAAAAGCAGAAATAGTTGTTCATAATGTCCTAATGATTCATGCTCTTTACGAAGTTACCATGAATGAGTTAGGAGTAAAGAAACTTTGACTACCTGGAAGTAAGGAAAAGACATTGATGTTTAAATAAAATAAGCTGAGGAGTAAAGACAGTGTATGAGGAGCAATGCTACTCTTTCAGTCATTTCTGTAGTAGGCTTGGACACTTTTGATTTCTTTTCATTTATCAGTTTTACTTTAAATTTATTATAGGCTCTATTCTTATCAAGGTTGCATCCTCTCTTCAAGCTCACTTACAGTTATCAGGAAAAGAGGTTGATATGGATTCCGAAGTCCATGTTCAAGAAATGACTGAAGCTCATAAAGATGATTGTGTAACAATTACTGGTAAGGAGCCTATGCTTGCTTATGTAAGATAAGTAGTCACTATTTACACATAATAGAAATATGTTATTCTTAACTGCAGCTTTCGTCATTTATTCCTTTCCATTGATACATTTTTCCTTTGAATTGCTTATTAGATAATTCCTAATTATCTCTGACTGCATTAGTGGCTGATACTATTTTTAAAAATATCTATTGTATAGATTATACATATACAGAGTGAAAAAAAATGCTGGTAAAGAATCTTTTAATCTTAACAGAATGAAAATGAGAAGGACAATGAAATTAAAGTGTGTGTATGCATGTATTGCTAAAGTTTTAACTATCTAGAAAGCATTAGTGGCTGATACTATTTCTAAAAATATTTATTGTATAGAAAATACATATACAGAGTGAAAAAAAATGCTGGTAAAGTATCTTTTATCTTAACAGAATGAAATTGAGAAGGACAATGAAATTAAAGTGTGTGCATGCATAAATTGCTAAAGGTTTAACTATCTAGAAAGTATGAGAGGGCAGGTGGTGATGATAGGGTGTCTTCATAGGATCAAGTTTCAGTTTTAAATATTTATGTTATGTGTCTTTTCTTAAAAGTCTGTTAAAAACATTGACATTAACCCCCCTCCTCAAGGGAATCACAGGAATAAAAATAACATCTATACACTGCCAGATCTCATCAGTGCCCAATGAAATGTTCATTATCTAGTGACAATATGATGAAAAATAAGCCTATTAAATGGGGAAAGAATGAATTTGTGATCCAATCTCTTGAGTTTGATAAGGAGCCAGTAGAGTTGCCCTTTTTTGGTCACAGTAATCTAAAGCTATACTGCAAATGTGTTTAAAAATGATGCTCTAAGTGATATCATAATCAAATTATTTTACATATGTTAATAATGTTTATAAATTGAAACTATTTTATCATTTTTCATTGTTATTCATAGAATCATATACCCAAATCTAAAACCAAATTTATATTTGGCTTTAATTTAGTTTTAAAACCCTGTTCTCATCACTTTAACCATAGTAAAAATACCTTATTAAATAATTTAAGAACAATTACCTGTCCTATCATTGGATGAAATCAGTATCTGCAGATCTGATCTCTCAATTAAGTTCTTGCCCATTTCCATTCCACCTGCACCAGCACCATCTCAGACTTAAAAACAAACATTGTCTTTCTTGAGCATAGCTTTTCCTTCTCCTAATACCTGTGTTTTCTCTTTTTTTCAGTCAAAGATAAAATATGGTCTTTCTGCTATTTGAGGAGCTTATATCCTAATGAGGCAAGATTAACAAACCAGTTGCAAACCAGAATTCACTAAAGTAGACTAAATTTTATAGTAAGATATGTGTTATGTGTACTTTGAAAGCATGGAGGTGTCTTGTCTAAATTAGACAAGCACTTTGAGTTTGAGGAAGTGAGAGAAGTTGAATGTAACTATAGTATAGAGGGTAAGGAGGAAAGTTACTAAGAGAATTTGGGAGAGTTCAGGTCATACAAGGGCCAATTTGGATTTTATATTAAGTACATGCAAAGGTAGTAAAAGGTTTTAATTACATAATCAGATCTCTGTATTAGAAAAGATCACTGAATGTTGAGTGTGGAAAGATTAGAAAGTACAATGGTGAATGAAGGAAAAGCTAATTAGCAGGTTACTGTAGTAATTCAGGAGAAAGAATTCAGTGGCAAAGATCCACAATGACCTTAAATTCAGCAGACAGATTAGACTTTCAATATATTTTGATTGAAGATATAGATGAATGAGGTAGATGCATCCTTCATTGGTTATTATGAAGCTCAGCCTATTTAATTCTCTAAGTGTTGTCTGTTACTGTGTGATATACTCTGATCCCTACTTCTTAAATCAGAAGATCCAAGTTGCAGAATGAAGTAAATTTCCTTATCAGCACTGATCAGCAGTTTATTGGAAGTGGTAAATGAAACACTCACCAAGGTTGGACCCCAGCGGGATCTGTAAGGTTGTCTTTGATGTTAGATTAAAACTGTCATAACAGTAATGCAGAGGGGCTTCAGATAAAGACATAGCAGCCTCTTTTGGAGAGAGCTGTATGAACAAATGATTGGGCTTTGAGAAACTTTCATATTTTGATTTTAAAACCACCATGGCCAAAAGACTACAGAACTTGTTTATCAAGTAGATGGAATAATTTTTAAGAAGCCTAGAAAATCAAGACAGCTTTTCTGTGATGATTTCCAATCTGAAAACCAATTTTGGAAATAATGAGCAGTTTTATATGTGAATTGTTATTATAGGCAGCTGAGCTCAGCTCATTTGGGCCTTCCTTACAGAGCCTATGAGGCAGAGAAACAGAAATACCCTCACTGCTAAGAGGTCTGGATTGTAGCTGTAGCATGACTTTTGCATGATTTCTGCAAGAAGCATTGCCAGTAAAATTTAGTCCCCTGGGCTCAGGCTTCCACGGGATTTGATATTTCAGTCCTTTAATTTTGTTTCCTGCTTCATGGTTTCCCCTGCTGTTGTTGTCACTGAAAAATAATTGTCTGTTGTATAATTCTTAAAGTGATTTACAAGTATTTTTTGCTATTTGAGGTTAAAAAAGGTAAAAAGCCTCCCAGGCTGAAATATTTACCTGCCCCCAAACTGCACAGTGTATATTCTTTAGAGGGAGGTTGTATTTTTGAGACCTTATGAGATCCTTGATCCTAAGTTTTTTGCTCAACCCAGAGATGACAGATTCAACAGGTGGTGAATGCTTAGGTTAAGATATTTCTAAGAATAAGCCTCCTTCTCTATTAGGTTTTAGACTTGGTTTATCAATTTAGATATGAAACCTTGCTTTGTATAGCAAGGTGTTCTCCAAACCCAGAAACGTATGTAGTAAAGTCCTTTTGTTTTAAAGTTCCACAATTTAGATGTTTTGAGAGTATTAAGATAAAGTTTGTTGCCAGCCAAGTGATAGTTGTCAGTGTCTACATAGTATGGAAAGTGACATTACTGGGTTTATTTTAGTCAAACTAGAAATATAAAGCATATAAAAAATAAATTCATCTAGGATCAAAATAGGCCATTGAGTCAGAATAGAATTCTCAGCTTCTTTTTAAACCAGAGTTATACATTTAATGGTGTTGTGATTTATAATGGAACACTGATTGAGGGTTGGAAAAGAGATTAAAATGGGACTAAACCCACAGGATGCTACTCTTAAAATCAAGAGACAGTGTTTCTATGCAAATTGGGGGGTAGGAAATAGAAAATGCAGTCTTTTGATAATGATATGACTTATAGAAATAAATTTCTTAGAATACAGTGATGTTTTGGTTTTCTCCAAGCTTGAAACACATATAAATGTGTTTCAGGACTACATGGAAGTTAATAGAATGAAGAATGCTGTGAGGTTTATGGCTGTCTACTTAAAGACCAGGTTTTGTTTCTGTTCATCTGCAAACTTTATAAGGCCAGATAGTAAATATGTTAGATTTTACAGTCTACATGTGGTTTCTGTTGCATATTCTTTTTTGTTATTTTTATAACCTTTAAAAAAATGTAAAATTAATTTTTAACTCTCATAAACCAGATTTGACTTGTGGGCTATAGTTTGCAGACCCCTCAAAATAGAGGCCATGATCTTAGACCATCTGAATTGTTTATAAATGCCTAGTGTTTTTTGGTTTGTTTATTTTTGTTTTGTATTTATTTTCATTATTCAAAAACTATTGGACCAACTCTTACCCTGAATGAGATCTTCTAGTGGTGAAGAAAAAATGATTGTGTACATAAAAGTGGAATCATGTAAGGCTTTAGAAAACACAACCATAGGTGATAGTACAATGGCAGATAAAAACACAAAGCAATGTTCAACATCTCTAGCCATTAGTGAAGTGCAAATTAAAAGCAGAATGAGATACTACTACATACCTGTTAAAATGACTAAAATTAAAAAGTGCTGATAAGAGCAAATGCTGGCAAGGATGTAGAGAGATTGTATCTCTTCTACTTTGTTGTTGGGAATGTAAAATGAGACTGCTCAAGGAAATTAGGTGTAGCCAAATAAGTCAGAAAGAAAATGACAAATAGTGTATGGTTTCACATATATGGGTGAAATGACGAGTCAAAGCAGACAGACAGAGCTGACAGAGCAAAGCAATTAAAAACTATCGGACACTGGTAACCTACATGAGGTTTGTATTTTAAGAGGGAGGTGGGTTGAAGAAAAGGTCAAAGGGGTAGATGGTGAGGGAAAAATAATAAACCATATTTATTTTTTTATTTATTTTTTACATAATTGTTCATTTTTAAACAGTATTTGCTTCCTGTGCACCATCACCACAGTCCCCTGTGCTGCTCCCTCCCTCCCTTCAATCCTTCTCCCTTCTTCTCCCCTACAGGATGTCTCTGGTTTATAATTGTCTGTTTTTGTTTTGTTGTGTTTTGTATTGTTATTATATTCCCCCCTATGTCTTATTTGGTTCCCCTATATTCCTCCTATAAGTGAAGCCACCCAATATTTTTCTTTTTCCTCTAATCTATTTCATTGAGCATAATACCTTCTAGCTCCATCCATGTTGCAGCGAATGGCATGAGTTTATCTTTTTTGATTGCTGAGTAATATTCCATTGTCTATATATACCACATCTTCTCGATCCAGTCATCTATTTTTGGGCATTTGGGGTGTTTCCAGGATAAACTGTATTTAAAATCTAGAATTGAGGGCCTCCCTGGTGGTGCAGGCAGTTAAGCACCGCACTGTAAGGCTGTCCACAGCCTCTGCAGCGCGGGTTCGATACCACATGGCGCAGCAGACCTCTCCTGTCTCGCCCGCTGCTCCCCTCAGCAGTGTATTTCATCAGTCTGCCTGTTCTGTTCCCCGCTCTGTCTCTGGTCAGTCCTCTCACCCTCCCGCACATCTGGCCTGTACCCCGGTTCTTGTATAAATAAATAAATCTTTAAAAAAAAATAAACTCTAGAATTGAATAAATGTTCAGTGAATATGAAGGACTAAAAAAATAAAAAGCAAGG